CCCCAAAACCCCAAAACCCCAAAACCCCAAAACCCCAAAACCCCATTTTTCAAGAATATTATTGAAAATACTTTATATAATATTATACAGCCAAAGGCATCTTGATCTTTTTATGGTGACTGTAATTTTCAAGAGTGAAATCTGAGAAAGTAAATTCTTCGATATCTGTAATATCCTTGTTAATCTTTAACTGAGGGAATGGTTTTGGATACCTCTTCAACTGCTTCTTTAGAGGCTCGATATGATTCTTGTATACATGTGCATCTCCAAGAGTATGGATGAACTCTCCTCTTTCAAGCCCGCATAGCTGAGCCAATATGCATGTCAGCAAACTGTAGCTAGCAATGTTGAACGGAACTCCAAGGCCGATATCTCAGCTTCTCTGATACATCTGACAAGAAAGTCTGTTCTCAGTGTCCACATAGAATTGGCAGAGAATGTGACATGGCGGTAAAGCCATTTTCTTGAGGTCTGCTACATTCCATGCGTTCAGAAGAATTCTTCTACTAGTTGGGTTCTCTTTTAAGTCTGTAATTATTTGTTGTATTTGGTCGACTCCTTTGCCTTCATAGTTAGTGTGCATATCTTCGTACTGAGCTCCGAAGTGTCTCCACTGGAAACCGTAAACAGGCCCGAGGTCACCTTCTTCTCTGTCAGTAAAGCCACATTGATCGAGGAACTCTCTAGAGCCATTTCCGTCCCAGATCTTTACTTTCTTGTCGCTGAGGTTCTTGGAGTTGGTGTCTCCTTTTAGGAACCACAAGAGCTCTTCGACAACTCCTCTCCAGTACACATCTTTGGTTGTGAGCATTGGGAAGCTTTCAGACAGGTCATATCTCATCTGGTATCCAAACTTGCTGATGACTCCAACTCCAGTCCGGTCATCTTTGTCGTTACCTGACTGCAAGATGTCATGAATAGCTTCCAAATACTGCATCTCTTGATGCTTTGGTAAAGACTCCACCAACAAAGTCGGAAAGGCTCCAGGGTTCAATGATAAGAACTGAGTATTTCCGTAGATACAGATATCATACGATGTCTCTGAGCTGCTAAATGTCTTTGAAATGTGCAGTGGCTTGAACAACTCATCGTCAATCTGGTTGATGAATACATCACAGTCAAATGTTCCATTCACTCTGGTGTAGACGATGTACTTGAGGTTCTCAGGATATGCTTCCAAACACAGGTTGTATATTTGAGCTCCTCCAATGACTACGATTTCTCAGACTTCGGGGTCTTGCTCAAGCTCAGTGAACATTTCTGCGATATCTTCGTAAACTCTAAGATTGTCATCTAGCTTGTTATCTGGGTTGTAGGTTTCTTGGAATGCAGCTTTGTCTCTTGTCAAGACGACGTTGATACGATCTTTAAGAGGCCTGAGTTTAGCAGGCAAGCTCTCCCAGGTTGTTCTGCCCATGACTACAGCATTTCTCTTGACAACAGTCTGCTCAGGCTCAGGGACTTTCATGCATTCTTCAGTTTGAAAGAAGCAAGGTAGCTTCACTTTCGAAGAACAGTGAGGGTCCCTGGTGACTTTCACAAAGTTCTTCATGTCTGTCTTAAGCTTTGGCCACGGAATGGACTCTGCCACACTCTTGCCTACCTCAGTGTCTTGTGATGAAGGAGTGGTCTTGGCAATGCCGCCTTTGATGTCGGCAGCCACGATGAGCGAGAAGCCTTTAGTCTGTTTTGAATTGATCATTTAAATATTTCAAAAGTTCCGCCATAAGAAGGGGTTTTGGGGTTTTGGGGTTTTGGGGTTTTGGGGTTTTGGGG